GTTGGCGTTAGTTTCATTACATTATACAGTCTTTCTTTTTCTATTGCCGATGTTATTAATCCTTTGGTAATCCAGGCATGACTTATTATTACTTTATTGGTACTAATATCTATTATTTTTTTATTTTCTCTAGGAACAGTCCCGTTGCTTTGTCCATATTATTTATATAGTATAATTGATCCCAGGATTTTTGTTTGACATTTGATTTTAGTTTTGAATTGTCGACTGAAGTTTTGTAATTTTCCTGGCTGTTACTAACGGTAGGGATGTTAGAATGTTTTTCATTTTAAGATATCAGTAAAATAGTGGAGAAGTGGGCAGTAATATCGCTTTCTAGGATTATTGCAATACAAGTAATTTTGTCTTTCACAAAGCAGTGATCTATACATGTGCCACTGATGGAACTTGTAGGTAGGTTTATATAGGACAGACATCCGTTACTTGATATGATATTCAAGTATTCATTTGTGATGGGATCATCGTCCAAAATATTTATATTGATATCTCCCAAGAAAATATGTTGCTTTAAATGAACGTTATTTTGATTTTGAAAAAAAGTTCGATATTATTTAAGAACTCGTGGGGTTCTGAACATGGCGGACGATAAATTGCAGAAACTTGAATTTTGTTATGGTTAATTTGGATCATTATGTTTAAAATTTTGATTCCATCGGTGAAAGTGAATGTATCATGATTGAATTGAAGTTTATTTCTTACAAAAATTATCACCCCATCGTTTTGGTTATAAGTGCCAAAGTTATACAGCGTGTCAAATCCCTGTTGATTGAAGCAAGAAATATCAACCACTTGCCACGTTTCAGTTAAAACTATTACATCAAAATTATACCATATTTGGTCGTGCAGTATTTTTAAGTAATCAATGTTATGTTTATAAAGTATCCCTGAGTTTTGTGGTTCCTGATAATATTTGAACGATGGACAGTTTTTGTCGGTAGGTGAGTGGTTGATATTATAATTTTTTGTATACCTTTCATTCCCATATCTACAGTTGCAGCATTCTATTGATACATGCTTACAATTTTCTCCTTCGTGACCGTTGCCACAGTTGGCACATATCTTCTCATTCCGGCAAATCTTTTCTGTATGATTAAAACGGTAGCATTTTCTACACTGAGAAATGTCGTTATTTTGATATACAGTCAAACATTGGCACCCCAGGAGTATTCTTCTATTATTGTCTTCGAAGATTTTTTTGAATAGCTTTCCAGAAGTTTTCGCGTATATAGTGTAATTGTTTCTTGATGGAAAATATTTTATAAACTTTACTTGTATGTCTCCACTCTGAATCATATAATTCTTCAATTTACTTTTCATCTGGTTTCTCACTACTTTTATAATTTATTATTTTAATTTTTAGATTTAATATTTTCGGCTTAGTAACATGATATTTTTCATTCAATTTACTTTGAAGTATATCTTTCAGTTCATTATGATTTGATTCATCAATTTTTATATCAATTCCGCCATTTTTTGAGTTTCTCACACTTTCTATTTGAATGTTCGGGGATGAAAGATTTATTCTCTTACTCAATTCTCTTCTCTTATCATCGCAAGATTGTTTTTCTTTTGGAATAACTGTGATGCATTTCAGCGATTGCCTTTTAGTAATAGGTATCATTTGTTTTAAGATTTGTGCGTTACTAACTAGTTTTTCTCAATTTCGTCGAGTCTCATGTTAATTCCATTTAATGCTGATACTGGCATTCTTCTCAGTAATACTTGCGGTTACTGACAGCTGTTGCTCTTTTAGTTTTAAATTTATGTTATTGAGCTGACGAATTATTTCCTCCTCTTCTGCTAGTGCTTTCTTCAGGGATCGATTCTCTTCTAATATATTTTTTACATTGGTCGAATCAGGTCGATTTTCTTCATCTTGGATGCAGTTTCATTCTCGGGCTTTTCTTGTTGTTCTTCTTCTTCTTGCGGGTCATGACACTCTGTATAGTTATTTCTTAGGTAGTATGAATCAGGACGAACAAACTGTCAACTGTCACTCCGAGGTTATATAAATATGGCCGAAAGCGACTGAAAATTGTAAAATCCGCTGCACCAATGTATCCAGATCCGTATTTTATCCTTATAAATGGAATGTCTTCCCCAAAAGGTTATTTCATGGACTGTGTACCAACCAAATTCTTGACAAGGTAGAACGATATCGTTTGTTTGTTTGCTACTTTGGATGCCTAGTTATAATGAATATGATTACAAGATAACAACGAGATGGGTCTATATGACATGGGTAGCTCGGGATCCTTTTGTTGTTTCAATAAAAGGCATATCACAGAGTCTTTCATGCTGTCCACGTATCGCTGCAGCATTCACCAATCGCTAAATACAATTAACAATGCATATTTTGGCAACTGTCGGTAGATTATTTAGCATTTTATATGTAAACCCGTCGAATCCGGGAGCAGTATTCTTCGAGTTAATTGTGAATGGTTTTGTGCGGGAATCTGATTGCGCGTTAAACCTAAAATTACTTTGCTGTCCTTCTCCATAAATAGGTGTAGAAACAGATGGCAGAACAAGTTTGTCAAATATTATTTCGATTAGTTCTTTAGAAAGTTGTGTTTTTTTGTATGTGGGTGATTTGTTTTGAATAGAGCGTATGAAACGCCATATTTCTTTTACAGAATTGCTTTTGTTTAGTTTGTTCAAAAGTTGTTTCTGCTTGAATAGCCTTTTAGTTTTAGCAGCTATATTTTGATAATCTTAAATAATTTTGAAAATTGGAGCAGGATTTGTAGATTTGTAATACTACATTTACACTCTCGCCTCGTACCTCGTCTCGTGCTTCGTCTCGTATCACAGCTCGCACCTCGCACGATTGATGGTAAATGAGTGTCTGTTCACATTCTCGTGGTGAGTTCAGTTGTGTTCAAGCTAGCCAGAATGGAGGACGTCGAATTGTTAGCGGCAACAAGTCTTTGCTTACTGAGTTTCTACTGCTATGCAAATAATTTAAATAAAAGAAAAATAAAAAAGAGACGGAAACCAAGAAGATGGTGGTTGTTATCAATTCATCGCAACAGAACTCCGTAAATATCTATTTTGATTAAAATACAATTTTATTGTCGTTAAAAGTCGTAGGGATGAACTTTTCACACCTCATAAGTATATTACAAATGTATAGTACGTATATAGTAAATGTATTTCTTTTTTTAATTTTAGGCAAAGTATGGAAATAATGTTTCAAGAAATGCTCAATGAAGATTCTGGCGAGTTTAAGAATTTTTGCAGAATGTCGCCAAATGATTTTGATTTTTTGCTAAGCAAGGTGGAACCTTTAATTACCAAGCAAAAAACTGGAGTCAGACTACCCATCCCAGCAAAAGTACGCTTAGCTCTAACTTTACGATTCTTAGCTTCAGGCGACAGCTACAGGAGTCTTCACTATCTATTCAAAATTTCTAGTGCAAGCATCACAAGCATTATACAAGAAGTGTGTATGGCTATCAACACAGTCTTAAAGGATCAAATTAAGGTAAGAAATTAAAGCACATACTTTACAAATCAATATGTATTTATTTATTTATTGATGTACAAAGATGAGCAATCCAACTTGCACATACCTCTTGCATCTTCTGGCCTCCAAAAATACCGAATTGCAACGTTGTATTAGCACCGAAGACAGTCTAAAAAGCAAGATTGATACTGGAAGGTAATGTCCGAGCAATAAATTATAGATAAAAGGTACCGCATTCTATAGAGGCGCGTGGCTTGATTGTCTCCAGTGGCGGTGGGCTATTGCTGTTGATCAGGTGTAAGCTTAATTAAATTCCCAATATGGTGTGATTTTCAAATCAGATTAAATCTTTATTTGTAATATATCTTCAGGCTTGTGTAAATCAAAATATTTCTTTCAAATTTCAATATTCAGGGAGAAGCAGGTTGTTTGATTAATTCTGATATGGTAGGTTGGATGTTTGGTATTGAATAGACAAGCCGTAAGTGCTAGGCTACCGAACTTAGTTACGTTTGGAAACTGAACATTCTCGTATAAAATATAAATATGAAAAACGTTTAGTTTACGAAATTAGTGTAATGACATATTAAGCGGAAAACCGCAAAAACGCTAAAATTAGCGGCCCGCTCGAAAACCGCCTGCAATGCAATGTCAATGTTCAATGACATATTTCGTTCCCGCCGGCCGCTGCGATCGGCGGCAAAATTCAGCCCGCGTCTTGTCGGCGGGAAAGCGGTTTGCGTTTTGCGGTTTGAGTGGGGGAAACATACACAAACTAACGCCTGGTGACAAATAGTTGTCTACTGAACCGCTGCGGGTTGCGATTTGTAGTGTGTTTCGTGATTTCGTCGAGGAGTCTGCAGAATCATGTCCACAGAAAACCTCATTGAGCTCGTTGAGATGCATCCTTCCATTTGGAACAAAAGTTGTGAGCAGTACAAAGACAGATACGAAAAAGAAAAGGCTTGGATCGAGATCGCCCGAAGGATCTTCCAAGATTGGGATACACTTGGGAAGAAAGAGAGGAATAAAAAATGTAAGTTGAAGGTACCAAATAATTATAAAGGTTAATAATTGAAAGTTAAAAAGTTTAAAAGCGAATTTAAGATAAAAAAAGTCGATTGTTTGTTCGTATATTGACTGACTAGCATTTATTTTCACCACATGAAAATTACGATTAAATTTATAAATAAATCTTTCAATTCTTTTTGGCATAATTTTAAAATTACTATTGATGTGCAGAAGTGATGTTTTCACTTAAAAAAAAAGATTTGGCAATCAAAATTTAATAAAAATAAATAAAACGAAAAAATAACGCCTTAGAACACGGTTTTTACATGGACATAGGACACGGTATTTACCTAAAATTTTATTCTTATCATTCATCGTTTTTTATACGTAATTTTTTTCCGGGCAATGCCGAGTTTCTCAGATAATAGGTATTTTTTTTAGAATTAAGTACATTGTAATACTTTAATACATTTATTCACAACTACGTGAACATCCTTGCAATTCAATAATTATACTCCTCTTGAAACGGGACGGCACCAATCCCAACAAAATAATCTGCGAAAAAATCGCGAACTTGTGTTCCTTGGTCGCGGGGCGCTGCACCAGTATTTATTACGTCAGGAAATGGAGAGATTTCACCTTCTTCATAATTGGCACCATCTCTTTGCCGAACGAAATTATGTAGGATGCAACAGGCTTTTACGATATCATCAATGAGCTCTGGTCGTACCAAAATTGGTGTGTGAAAAATTCGCCATTTATTGGCTAATAAACCAAATGCACATTCGACTGAACGTCTGGCTCTAGAAAGTCGGTAATTGAAAATTCTTCGACGACCATCAATGTCACGTGCAGGAAAGGGTCTCATGAGATTTGTATGTATTTTAAACGCTTCGTCTCCAGGAAATACAAAAGGCTGAGGAGTGGAATCTGTTCCGGGTAGACACTTAGGTGCAGGAATATTTAGTTGGCCAGAATACAGTTTCGTACCAAAAGTGCTGTCACGGAATACAGTCGAATCACCTTCTTCACCATAAGCTCCTACATCAATTGAAATAAAGCGAAGGTTGGCATTAGCTACTGCCATTAGAACCACCGAAAAATACTTCTTGTAGTTGAAAAATTTAGATCCAGAGCTCCGTGGCTTAACACAACGAATGTGTTTCCCATCCACCGCACCTAAGCAATTTGGAAAATCTGTTTTCTCTTGAAAAGTGTCGGCGATCTGGTACCATTCCTCTTTCGTTGGCTCAGGCATTTCTGTATCTTTCAAAGCAAGCCAGATTGCTTGGCAAGTTTCAGACACTATATCGGCAATCGTACTTCTTCCAATGTGGAATTCATATTGTAGAGCTGTGAAGGTATTTCCCGTGGCCAAGTATCTGCAAAAAGAATCGAAATATACCACTAATTCTAGTGCACGTGTTTTTGTGTCTTTGTTTTTGAAATTAATTATTCTTTTTTAGTGGATGCGTTGAAGAAGAAATGGAAGAACATCAAGGATTCATTAAAAAAATATTTAGATACAAGAAGCGGGGATGCTGCAAAAAAAAAAGAAATATGTACACCTTGAGGCCCTGAGTTTCCTCCAAAACTCTGCTGAAAAAAGAAGGTTGGTCATTTAGTTGATGTTATATCATCTACAGTATATATCGTTATTTGCATCTCTTTTCAGCACAACGGGCAATTTCGACTCAGACACTTCAGAGGAAGAGGGCCACAACGAATCTGACATAGCCACAACTTCAGCGTTATCACTATCAGAATCCCATTCACCCATTTCATCCCCACACCCAGAAAACTCATCAACTCCAAAACAACATTCTTTTAGAAAGCCTAGTCGACCTGCCAAGATGACTCCTTTTCAAGAATCCCTTATAAAAAATCTCAGTCAGGCATCATCATCGATTACCCAAGCCAGAGTTGACGAAGATGCAGATCGTTTGTACCTACTTTCTTTACTTCCGGATTACAAAGCGTTATCTCAGCAGCAAAAGTGGGCATTCCGTGAACACGTAGGATACTTTTTCCGTCAAACTTTCGTACCTCCTACATCTACGCCTCCTCCGTCATTCCAAAACTACCAAACCACTTCAACACATTGTCCTCAATACGCCTATCAAGAACACAGTTCACTACCTTTCTGTCACAACATAACCCAACTTCAGAAACCCCCACAGCCACCGCAAACCTATCAAACATCGTCTTGTAACATAGCACAAGAATTCACTCAAGTCACATTCTCTCCCAGTTCGTCTTCCCAATCACAGTAACGATATTACTATATTAAGTTGTATTATCAAGTATTTTGTTCACTTTTGATTTTTTTACAAATAAACTCGAGTTATGATTATTATTGATTATTTGAGTGTAATTTAAAACATTATTTATATAATATTTAAAATAAATAAGAAGTTATATATATGTTTGGTTACCTGAGTGTGACAGTCAACCTTTCTTTTGCGCTAATTGGCTTTTTGAAAGAAGTCTCCTGTTTCGTAATAAGTGGACGTAGAGCTCCAAGTAGTTCATCGAATGACGCAATTGACATGCGATAGTACTCAAAAAATTTATCGGGATGCTTTCTGATGTCTTCCAAAAATTTGGGGCACTTCCTTGAACGTTCATTGTTATACGGGTGCACTGCATATCTGCGACTTCGTGGTTTCTCCAACAGGCCTTCAGCTTCAGCAGCACAAACAGTTGCTACGTTAACAAAATGTGCGAGCTCCATACTTCAAAGCTAAGCTACAACTGATGACAAAAGTAGAATGTGGCCATTCAGGCCTCTCCCCCTTGTCGCGCCGCCATCCACCGCCGCGCCGCCGCGCGGGCGACAGTATGTCATCAGACCAGAAAGCGGTTTTCATTCCCGCTACTTTTGGCGTTTTGCGGTTTCCCGCCTAGTATGTCATTACACTTAGCGCTGGCTATTTATCCTTCTTGCAACTAATTTCATTAGCTCTGAAACGTATTTCACCAGTATTTATTTTAACCGCTTTCTGTGTCTATACAAAACTGCATTCTGGTCTACATGCTTCTTACTTTGTAGACATACTGGTAGGTTCAGCCACTTTAGACATTGGGATTGCACTAAGCCAGCGGCGGCGACGAAGTAAATAAGAAATGAATAAGTCCTTCTTGATTCAATTTACAAATTAATGCATTAATCAAAGAAACTATCCTGTTTTTAGTCATAAAATATTACCAGACATTTGAGAAACAAAATTTCAATAGGTATTAAGAGTAATCCATGTAATTTTTTCTTATGAATGTGGAAGTGGAACAGCCAGCGGGTACGCTAATGCAGTCGGCGGCGCGGCACCTCAAAGACAAAAGCTGTATTTTGTGTTTATGGCTCACAAAGAAATTGACAGTAGCTAGAAAAAAAGTCATATTTTTCTATTTAACTCTTACATTTAGTGGATTTAGCCTCGATAATCAGTTCTCAGTTGTTGTTTGAGTGTTCTGGAGCGCAGTAGTGTTGTAGAAGAAAGATGTCTCGACAACAAACAACCCCGCGTGAGAGACGAATGATCATCAAATGTTATGAGATGGGAATATCCAGCGCGGAGATAGCAGATCAGTTTGATATGTCGGTAAATTATACAGTCTTTTTGATCATAGTACACTTTTCTGAATGTTACTTTTTCTATTAGCTAAGACAAGTCCAAAACTGGATTAGGCGGAATAGGGAAGGTGGCAGTTTGGAAACCGACAGGTCAAATGTCCACAGACGCAACGTCTTATCAAATGAAGACGTGAGCAGGCTGATTGCGTTCAATGACGAAAATCGGTTTTGTAGTGCGCTCGCAATGCGAGATAGACTGGGGCTACAGTGTCATAGAACGACAGTGGGTAGATATCTGCACAAGGAAGGCATCCACAGAAGGATACCGGCAGTGAAGCCATTGCTCACTGAGGATCATAGAAGGAGAAGACTACAGTTCTGCCAGGAGAACCTGAATAGGGACTGGAGCACCGTAGTCTTCTCCGATGAAAAAATTTTTTGAACTAATACGGATTACCGACCGCCGCTATGGTGTCGGAACAACACTAGATACGACCCAGCAAACATAATCCCCAACAGAACCACGGGTCGGACGACAATGGGATACTGGGGGTGGATGACGGCGGATGGACCAGGGGATTTAGTTAGTATAACTGGTAAGAGATAATTAAGTTACAACTATACGTTTCTAAAGTTAGCAAGAGCTGCTAGTGGAACCACTTGATCGACTTCGTCGTAGCGCTGCGTGCTCATTATTTTACGAGTATCTAGTTTACTCCTTGCACAATTGATTGTTTCCGGCATTGCACCATCCATAAGAGTTATATTAAAATACAAAACCATTTGGAATTACCGAATCCGTTGCATCAAAATTCAAAATAGCAGCTCTTGCTTTTGAGTATTTTTTTACGACTAAGTTATGTCACTGCAGTAGGCTTTTAAGTAACAGTATAAAATTGCTAACATCTAAATAATGATCACAATAGATGGTTTTGTTGATATCGGATAATTTCTTGGAAAAGCTAATCTTTATGAAAGATTACTGGTATTATACCATAACCCTCCTAGGACTTGGTAGGGGACAGAAAATGCAATAAGATTCGATAATTACCTGACCAGACGAAACCACATATATTATGTTTTAAATTACTTGTTCTAATCTATATATTTTAAGAAATATCCAAAAAAGCCACCGTGGTGTCCGAAACGTCAGTGAAAAAGTAATTCAAACATATGTGATTTCGTTTGCCCAGACCCAAACCACAAAATGAGTTTTAGGTATTACAGTAAAATACAATAAATAGACTCTATATAACATATGCATTGCACGAAAATCCCCAGTTTTGGAGATCTACTTTTGTGATTTCTTTAGCATCACCCGAAACTGTAAAAACATATATGAAAAATTCTTGAGGTTTTGTTCTCAGTTTCCCCTCAAAGTAAAATTGTTCATTTCATGTTCACACACATACACATACACACACACCTACACACACACAGACACACACGCACTTGGTGTCCGAAATATATTGCATTTTAGCTCCCTTTTCTTGTCCCTGTGTATACCTCGGTCCCTCATAAGATGATCTTGTTACTTACAGACAGAATGAACTCGCAACAATATGTGGACATTTTAAATAATAGTTTTATCCCATCATACCGGATTCTCTATCCACAAAGTAGAATCACTTTTGTACAAGATAATTCCGCCGTTCATACGTCACACATGGTGCGAAATTATCTTGCACAAGAGGATTACAATGTCATTGCCTGGCCAGCAAAATCTCCAGACCTTAACCCAATAGAAAACCTGTGGGGTATAATGGTCCAAAAGTGGAGCACTGGCGGACCGCTCCCCAATAGGCGGGATAATCTCGACACCCATTGTAGGCGGCTATGGGAATCCTTCCGGGGAACGGATGTCTGCAAAAACTTGGTGGACAACATGCGCACTAGGATGCAATCCTGTATAGACGCAGAAGGTCATCCTATCGCATATTGGTAAGATATTTTATATAGCGTATTGTGTTTATTATATATCATGCATTAAAATCGGCTCCGTACAATGATTGCTCGAAGTATCGCATAAACATGGCGGAAAATACAAAAATGATTTTGTCAATCATTTGATACCCCTTCTCTCTTCTACTACCCTAAAACACATTTTGTTCATTTTCGTGTTGTGCTTTTTGTCACTGGAAGCAAACTGCAGCTAAACTGTTTTCACAAATCTTCTTTGAAAACTTACTTAGTCAGGCTTCGCCTTGAAATGATATTCCCAATTTGGGGGATGGGACGGAGATTTTTTTCAGTGTATAGTATAGAAACATTGTATGTATAAAGGAAATCTATTTTGAATAACAATATGTATTTTTTTCAGAATGGTACGTGGCCCGTATTAGATTTTTGTAAGAATGCTTTTGTTTATTTGTTACTTTTGTTTATGGATTTATAGAGAAATTGTTTTTTTTTTGAGAATTCTAGATTGATTTATTACTTGTTTGTATTTTAGAGGATATTATTTTTATTTTAATTGCATGGAATTAACTGTTTTATTTTATTATTTTATACTATATTATATATACTCCATAATCATTTGAATTTTTATTGAACCACTCACTACCTTATTATAACAATGGGCTGATGGATTATAATTTATTGTTTGCGCAACCTAGGCTTGAGTGCCAAATATTTGACCTACCATAGAAAAATTCATCTCTCAATCTCTCTCTGTTTGGGGACCAGTTATTAAACAGACAGGCCGTCGGCAATGAGTAATCAGGGGAGCAGAAACACTTCGTTCCGCGACCTGTCCTTATGTAGAGCGTCCCCCTTTTTTCCTGTATAATTTATTGCCGGTTTATTTCTTTGATCTCCTTTATGGCTGTCTGAGCAAAAGCTAAACATACACGGTAATGATTACAGAAAGGAAATGCCATAAACAGGTTACAATAACAATAAGAGTTTTGAGCCTAGCAACTAGAATTCTTAGAGAGATTTTACAAGGAGTGTGTATATTCTGTATGTTCAAGTGTTGTGTTCTGAAGATTTAAAAATAGGAAAATTGATATATCATTATCTTAAAAATCGCCGCAAATCCTTCCACTCTCAAATCTGCCGTTGGTAATAAAGGAATCATCAACTTGAGCATTTTATAGACCAATTGCGTATGAATGAAAGGCGAAAGGTAAGAAATCAAAGGCCCTGGCTGGAATGAAGCTTCCAAACGCTGGGAGATTTTAGGTACGAATTCGCGTCGTGTGGGTAGAGACAGTTGATTATGATTTGTTCATCAAAATATTCATACAGATCATGTTGTGGCGGAATCATGAATCTGAATATGCATACTAGTTAACCAGGCTGCTGAGCATATTAGCGCTGGCTATTTATCCTTCTTGCAACTAATTTCATTAGCTCTGAAAAGTATTTCACCAGTAGGTATTCAGTTTAACCACTTTCCGTGTCTATACAAAACTGCCTTCTGGTCTATATGCTTCTTACTTTGTACAGATACTGGTAGGTTAAGCCACTTTAAGCAGAAATCCAAGTATATAGACTTTTTGCTTTTCCAGAAATCCTCCCAATGCTAATAAAAACAATTATGATCAATTGTGATTCATTAAATTTACTCATATGTGATTTCCTAGTTTAGTCCGAATTTTAAAGGTGCCCATAAAAGTGATTTGTAGGAGCCACAGTTGTGGTTGATTTCGCGATAGTAATCGTTTCCTGTGGATTGAGATTCTGCCCAACCAGTGGTGTTATCCAGAAATAGATCTGGGAGGAGGCTCAGGATCCAGGGTCGTGGAGATAGAAAACTGCATAGCAGGGGGGAACTCGCTTAGTCCAGGTAGCACACTTCACAGAAGGTTTAACATGCTGTAATATGTAGAAGAAGCCTAATGAGCTGTTACGCTTCGGCAAGGGAAACTCCGAGGAGCCTCAAATCCCTCCCTTGAATACGCCGGTGTGCCCATACCAGAATAGTAACAGAGGCGTGTGGGGTCTAGCTCAAAGAGTTCCGCCGTTCTTTCTAATATCATTGGGTTTCCATCCAACCAGCGACGGCGACGAAGTAAATAAGAAATGAATAAGTCCTTCTTGATTAAATTTACAACTTGATGCGTTAATTAAAGAAATTATCCTGTTTTTAGTCATAAAACGCTACCAGACATTTGAGAAAAAAAATAATATTTTAAGTTTCAATAGGCATTAAGAGTAATCCATGTAATTTTTTCTTATGAATGTGGAAGTGGAACAACCAGCGGATACGCTAATGCAGTCGGCGGCGCGGCACCTCAAAGACAAACGCCGTATTTTGTGTTTTTGGCTCGCAAAGACTGACTGACCAGTTATCAAACAGACCGTCGGCAATGAGTAATCAGGGGAACAGAAACACGCCGTCCTGCGACCTGTCTCTAGGTAGAGCGTCCCTCTTTTATCGAGTATAATTTATTGCCGGTTTATTTCTTTGATCCCCTTTACCGCCGTCTGATGGATCAATCTAAGCAAAAGCTAAACATACACGGTAATATTTACCGAAAGGTCATGCGATAAACAGGTTACAATAATAATAAGAGTTTTGAGCGTAGCAACTAGAATTCTTAGAGAAATTTTACATGGAGCACCCTTCAAAACACTTTAAGGAGTGTGTGTATTTCGTATTTTAAAGAGTTGTGTTCTGAAGATTTAAAAATAGGAAAATTGATATATCATTATCTGCCGTTGGTAATAAAGGAATCATCAACTTGAGCATTTTATAGACCAATTGCGTATGAATGAAAGACGAAAGGTAAGAAATCAAAGGCCCTGGATGGAATGAAGCTTCTCAAACGCTGGGAGATTTTAGGTACGAATTCGCGTCATGTATCGGCGGAGTGTGGGTAGAGACAGTTGATTATGATTTGTTCATCAAAATATTCATACAGATCTTATTGTAGCGGAATCATGAATCTGAATATCCATAATGTTGCCAGGCTGCCAAGTATTTTATTAGCGTGTATGTCGAGCTTTACATCCACCCTTCAACTGGATAGATACACCCACACACATGCCGCTATACAATAGGTTTTTTTTGTTTTTGATTTACTGTCTGGAGGCGACCAATATATCCACGCTACTCTTCTATAGTCCATATCATTTCTCCACTTCTTGCTTAACCACCTTAGGCGCTAATGCGACGTTGCAGTTCAGTATTTTGGGAGGCCAGAAGATGAAGGAGCTATGTGCAGCTTCGATTGCAGATTTTTGTACAACTCGCATCAACTTCCATCTATACATTTAACGTAGTACGTGTATGTTTATAATATAGTTCTTGCTTACATATATCGATTTATTAAAACTAATAGGGTTGATCACTTAAAGCATGTAAGAACGCTGTATCTATAATGTTATTAGAATCAGGACGTTGTATAACTTCGTGAGAAAGGACAGTGGCACAATCTTGTGATGATAAAACGGGATCAACAGTAGCAGTTCCTGAATGTGAGGATATAGTACCCAAAACTTGTGGTTGCAAGACATAGCTGTTACGAGAAGTAGGACGATCTGGGATAGATATTTGTATGGGTGATTGGTGTGGTTGCGATACATAGCTCGTACGAGAAGTAGGACGATCTGGGATAGATATTTGTATGGGTGATTGTTGTGGTTGCGAGACATAGCTGTTACGAGAAGTAGGACGATCTGGGATAGATATTTGTATGGGTGATTGTTGTGCTCTACTGGACGATGATGAAGAATATGTCGGCGATGGTGTATATCTGGAGTATGTGTCAAATTTCTGTAATTGTTGAGGAGGGTTTGCCAGAAGTAACCCATCAATGCCATGCATAATCTGACGCCGTTCTTGTTTTGAATATCCTCTCAATCTTGTAGCCAATAACTGCGCGTACAAGTCGCACTCATCGTTTCCCTTCCTGTTTAAGAACATGTTATTTAAATTAGATACCGTGTCTTTTAGATGCTTGTGAATATCTGTTTCGCTATCTTCACGGGTACGCCTTTTGTGATAGGTGATTTAAAGGTTTGTTTATTGTTCGCTGGTTTCTGTTTCTCGCTATTCTGTTCATCATGTTGGTCATTGATAAGCTTGTTATTTTGCTCGTTATCATTGTGTGTTTCATCGTCGACATTGGGTAGAACTGGTGATATCTGAAATCAGATAAATCCATTATATTATTTATTTTAAAATATATATTATGTATTAAAAGCCAGGTAGCAGATACCACTACTAACAACATTTTTGTGTGGAATTCAAGAAAAAGAATTCGAATCGTAACCCATCAAGTGATAACCGGCCCAATTGGGCGGAGTAACAATTGATTATCTATTGTGTCTTGTTTTTCCGTAATTGAAGGGTTATTAATAATAATAGACAGAACTACACATCAGAGAAATTGTGGTTGACAAATGAGGACTCAAAATAATTTATGCTTTTCCTTCTATTTCAGATGCCGCGCACTACTACAGAATGGTTAAACATAGAAAGAGGTTTCAACAGGAAATACCCACATTGTGTAGGTTGCATCGATGGCAAACACGTTGTGATACAATGTCCAATCAACAGTGGCACAGAATACTATAATTATAAAGGAACATTTAGTTTTGTGCTCTTAGCTTTAGTTGACAGCAATTACCGCTTCATATTTGCCGATATTGGGGCTCAGGGCAGAATTAGCGACGGAGGAGTATTTCAAAATAGTTTACTTTGGGAAACAATTTCGATAGACACTATTAATTTACCTCCTGATAGTCCACTTTCTGAGGGACAATGTAATATGCCATATGTTTTTCTTGGAGATGGGGCATTTGCGTTAAGCAAACACGTGATGAAACCTTTTCCAGGAAACCATATCATGGGTTCATTACAACGAACTTTTAACATGAGATTATCTAGTACACGTGTTATCGTTGAAAATGTTTTTGGAGTTTTAACAACAGTTTTTAGGATATTTAAAAAGCCCATGGAAATTAGGAAAGATAAAGCTAAACTGATAACGATGACTTGTATTCTATTGCATAATTTTCTCAGAAATACTAGAGCATCTAGAGACATTTACACACCTCCTGGTACCTTTGATACAGTTGTTGATGGTGAAATAATTAACGAAGGCTCTTGGAGACGAAATGTTTCTACTAATCAAGCTATAAGACCTATACCAACTGTAGGTCGACGTGCATCACAGAGCGCCATAGAAATAAGAAATGAGTTTGCTAGTTTTTTTCTAAGGCAAAATTGTTAAAATATTGGTACATGTTGTCATAAGATAGATTATAATACATTCATCGTATCAGATCCTTCATGGGTTAAAAAATCAGTCTAGCAGATATAATTTTAATAGTTGTTAAATTATATCTCCTAGACTAATTTTTTTAACCCATTTTAGCTAGTAATAGAGCTGAAAAAAATACTTGTTGTAGGTACTTATTCTTGATAGCAACAAGTGAATAAAGTATAAATGAATATGTAGTTTTAATTTACTTACAAGTCCTTCTTCGGTGTTGATAGTGGTATGACACTTATAAACAGATGCCAAAAATGTTTCCATGGCAGCGTAGTACACCCACACTGGCTTATAAGCATCATCTTCTCCTCCACCGGATTGTAATGATTGTTTTTTGTGCCGCAGATGCTGACGAAAGGTTGCCATAAGAGAATTTTTTTTATTTTTTAACTCAGGTACAGGTCTACACATTTCTTCACGTAACTTTACCCAAGCATCGTTCACTTTCTGGTTATTTTTGTGCAATTTGTTTTTGGGATTCCAAATTATTGGTTCTTTTTGGAATAGTTCCAAAAACTGGAATGTTTCTTTTTCGGACCACTCCATTTTGATTGATCTGCACAGCACGAGGTTGAAAACTTGAATGAAGCGAGAGCGCGAATGTAAACACCACGCTCGCGTTTGTTGCGAGGTCCTTTGACTCGTGCCCAAATTACCGCTCCGGACGCGAGTGCTGCGAGGCGCGAGACGAGACGCGAGGCGAGCCGCGAGCAACTGTTTACACTCTCACCTTGTGCTTCGGCTCGTGCCTCGTCTCGCGACTCGTACGCGAGTGTAAATGAGCTATTATACTTCCTTACGAGAGGCAATCATGCTAGTACAGTCTTCGTCCCACCAGTCCATCTTTGATGCTGAGTCAAAATTATCGAATTCTGTACACTTATGTAGATCAGATTCGGTATGATCGTGAAAAAAATTGCAGTCAGCTCTCATATCATTCCATTTGGTGGCAGGATTAATATAAAATGACGTGTGATTTATTTGCAGTTGGATAAGAATGGGGTAACGATTTGAACCTAGAGCATCTGTATGCACCTCCCATTCAAATCTGTCCATGTATCGTGGAGAGACCATGGACAGATCCATTGCGAAGTGAGACCCCTGTGGAGATATTCTAGTGAGAGAACCGTCATTTAATGTTATTGAGTCCAGATTATCAAGAGCATTTAACAAATTCCTTTCATTGGCGGCTTTTGGGACCCGGCCCCAGGAGCGATGGTGGGAGTTAAAATCGCCACAAAAAAGTGTTTCAGGAGGAAATTGATCGAAAAGATTTACCCATTCTTGCTGAGATGCGCTTACATCGGGTGGTTTATATATTGAAACTATTGTTACATCGCAAGATGTAATAGTCACACACTTCAATCCCATCGTTAAAAGTTCCTTGTATATTGAACTATTTGAAACGTATGCCATTACGATGAGTATACCCACGCGTATTAATCGATTCGGGTATTTTTTAACAAAATTATAGCCTCTCATGTGAAAACTAGATGATGGTCTTAACCATACCTCTGATAAAATTATGATGTCACATCGATGATTTGCGATAAAATCTTGTAAATTTGGTAAGTTGGCCCTTATAGAACGTGAGTTCCATTGAAAAATATTTATATTGCTTTTACTCGTCAGTGTCGCCATCGCTTATGAATATGGGACTAGCGCAGTATTTAGCATGCCAACGCTATGCTAAATATTGTCCGTTGATGTCTTTATTTAAAACCACCCGTAGCGCAGTTGCTGGTATGCTAATGCAATGCTAGCGATATATACTTTATCCCTATCTCTAATCATTTTCTATCCTTTGGCATCTTTGATCTGTTATCTGGTACCTGGTATCTGGTATCTGGTATATGGTATCTGGTATTTGGTATCTGGTATCTGGTGTCTGGTTTCTGGTGTCTGGCGTCTGGCGTCTGGCATCTGGTATCTGGTATCTAGTATCTGGTGTCTGGTATCTGGTATCTGGTGTCTGGTGTCTGGTATCTGGTATCTGGTATCTGGTGTCTGGTATCTGGTATCTGGTGTCTGCTGTCTGGTATCTGGAATCTGGTATCTGGTGTCTGGTATCTGGTGTCTCGAACCTGGTATCTGGTATCTGGTATCTGGAATCTGGTATCTGATATATGGTATCTGGTATCTGGTATTTGGTATCTGTTATCTCTTTATCTGGTATCTGGTGTCTGGTATCTGGTATCTGGTATCAGGTATCTGGTATCTGGTATCTGGTGTCTAGTATCTGGTGTATGGTATCTGGTATCTGGTATCTGGTGTCTGGTGTCTGGTATCTGGTATCTGATATCTGGTGTCTGGTGTCTGGTATCTGGTGTCTGGTATCTGGTATCTGTTATCTGGTATGTGGATCTGGTATCTGGTTTCTGGTATCTGGTATCTGCTATCTTTTATAAGTTATCAGTTTTCATGTCTGGTATCTGGTATCTGATATCTGGTGTCTGGTATCTGGTATCTGGTTTCTGGTATCTGGTATCTGGTATCTGTTATCTTTTATAAGTTATCAGTTTTCATGTCTGGTATCTGGTATCTGATATCTGGTGTCTGGTGTCTGGTATCTGGTGTCTGGTATCTGGTATCTGTTATCTGGTATCTGGTATCTGGTATGTGGATCTGGTATCTGGTATCTGTTATATTTTATAAGTTATCAGTTTTCATTTTTCATTTTTCATTTTTCATTTTTCATTTTTCATTTTTCATTTTTCATTTTTCATTTTTCATTTTCATTTTTCATTTTTCATTTTTCATTTTTCATTTTTCATTTTCATTTTTCATTTTTCATTTTCATTTTCATTTTTCATTTTTCATTTTTCATTTTTCATTTTTCATTTTTCATTTTTCATTTTTCATTTTTCATTTTCATTTTTCATTTTTCATTTTCATTTTTCATTTTCATTTTTCATTTTTCATTTTTCATTTTTCATTTTCATTTTTCATTTTTCATTTTTCATTTTTCATTTTTCATTTTCATTTTTCATTTTTCATTTTTCATTTTTCATTTTTCATTTTTCATTTTCATTTTTCATTTTTCATTTTCATTTTCATTTTCATTTTTCATTTTTCATTTTTCATTTTCATTTTCATTTTTCATTTTCATTTTCATTTTTCATTTTTCATTTTTCATTTTTCATTTTTCATTTTTCATTTTTCATTTTTCATTTTTCATTTTTCATTTTTCATTTTTCATTTTTCATTTTTCATTTTTCATTTTTCATTTTTCATTTTTCATTTTTCATTTTTCATTTTTCATTTTTCATTTTTCATTTTTCATTTTTCATTTTTCAGTTTTCATTTTGAATTTTTCATTTTTCATATTTCATATTTCATATTTCATTTTTCATTCTTCAGATTTCAGTTTTCATTTTTTAGTTTTCAGTTACCAGTTTTCAGTTATCAGTTGTCAGTTGTCAGTTGTTAGTTATCAGTTATTTGTTATCTGTTACCTGTTTCCTGTTATCTGTTACTTTTTATCTGTTATCTGTCATCTTTTATCTTTTATCTGTTATAAGTTATCTGTTATCTGGTATGTGGCATCTGTTATCTGGTGTCTGGTATCTGGTATCTATTATCTGCTATGTGTTATCTGGTATCTGGTATCCGTTATCCGTTATCCGTTATCCTTTATCCGCTATAAGTATCTGGTATCAGGTATCTGGTATCTGGAGCCTGGTGTCTCGTATCTGATACATATCTGGGATCTGGTATCTGGTGTCTGGTATCTGTTATCAGTTGTCAGGTGTCAGTTATCTGTTACCTGTTATCTGTTATCTTTTATAAGTTATCAGTCTTCATTTTTCATTTTTCATTTTTCATTTTTCATTTTTCGTTTTTCATTTTTCATTTTTCATTTTTCATTTTTCATTTTTCATTTTTCATTTTTCATTTTTCATTTTTCATTTTCATTTTTCATTTTTCATTTTTCATTTTTCATTTTTCATTTTTCATTTTTCATTTTTCATTTTTCATTTTTCATTTTTCATTTTTCATTTTTCATTTTTCATTTTTCATTTTTCATTTTTCATTTTTCATTTTTCATTTTTCATTTTTCATGTTTCATTTTTCATTTTTCATTTTTCATTTTCCATTTTCCATTTTCCATTTTCCATTTTCCATTTTTCATTTTTCATTCTTCAGATTTCAGTTTTCATTTTTTAGTTTTCAGTTATCAGTTATTTGTTATCTGTTACCTGTTTCCTTTTATCTGTTACTTTTTATCTGTTATCTGTCATCATTTATCTTTTATCTGTTATAAGTTATGTTATGTTATATGTTACCACCTGTTACCTGTTACCATCTGTTACCTGTTACCATCTGTTACCTGTTACCACCTGTTACCTGTTATCTGTTATCTTCCATATAGCATTGAAAATATCCAGTATAAAATTGTATAACAGACTCAGATTTATGTGAGATGCCGGCAACGTCGCATGTGTTGTTGTTAATACCATACATGGCGTTATAAAATCTTCCATATAGCATTAATGCTCTCTATAAAATTGTATAGCAGACTTAGATTTATATGAGGATCCGTCGCATAAATCTAGCTACCACACGACTTGCAAAAAAATGGCGCTTGACACTGACATATGTCAACCGTGTTCGTCTATGGATAGCAGTGGACTATGCTTTCTTCAGTGTATATGTTTTTTGTTTTGTAATGTCAATGTCATTGTCATAGATAATTTTTTCTAACCTGGAAAATAAAATGTAATACTATTTTGTTTAAAATTCAATAACTCCCTATTGTGAGATGATGTGCATCTACAACATAATGAAAAGAATAAATTAAGATTCTGAAAGTTAATTCCTAAATATCATAGTAAGGAAATCCGTAAAACTATCAAAAAAGTAAACATAAACACCTTGAGAAAACTTCTTCCGTATCAAGTGGTTAAAGTGGAGTTTAAAAACAATTTTTGTAGAAAATAAGGCGGTTAGTTTACAAGCAGGTATGTAACTGAGCGATAATGTGTGGGTATGTTGCTTATAAAAAATGCTGTATTTAGATATCATTGCTATTCAAATTGAACTTTTGTCTTATTGTTACTATTTATTGCAGGAGAACAGTTGAACCAGGTCCTGGTGCATACTTATGTAGTTGTCATTTTGTGGATAGGAAAAAACAAAATTGACCTACATTGTTTAGGGGAGAAGCAATTGAACTTTCCATCGCCAGAAAGAAGAACCCGTAAAAAGACCATTGATAAACCTTTTAATATCTCAACAATGTGAAAATTGAACTCTATAATATGTTACTTCAAATTGGGCCCTTTTAAGGGATGTATGTAATAATTATGTGATCTGCAGAAATAAAAATAGTTTCCCAGTAAGGAGCATACTGTTGATTATAATTTTTGTCATTAGCTTTTTTTAGATACAACACATGGCATCATAAATTATTTTAATGTAGAGTTCAGTACTCCAGCTATAACAGGGTAGTCCCTCGATCTTTTCAAAGCTATTCAACAAATATGTACTTCTATGAGGTTGAATTGAAAAAAAATTGAGAAAGCAATCTTGTATTTGCGTTTCGTATAGGTAACTTTCACTCCCCTGGCAGGCTTAATCTAAGCGATATCACAAATATGTCTATACCAAGTTACGATTATACTGTGCAAGAGTATTTATCTTACAAATTTTGACAAGTAATGGTGTCTGTTGTTTTGACAAGTCCTTAAAGCAGCTACATTCTAAATCGAAGTACATACATTCTGCATTGAGATCAAAATAAACAACTGCAGTGGCTGTGAAAGTCTTAGTAATCATGAAAACTTTGGTAGTAGATATGATTATCAATGCTATTTTTCAGCGCTTTGCATATTCCTTCATCTGCTTGATAATATGTGCCAATCGAAGGGATAGATCCTCCTATGTAATAGAGAATTCTATAATAATGTAGCACTGTTAGCCAGCTAATAGGTCTACATATTTAGATAAATTGAACTGAGGGTCAAGACTGAACTCTTACTGAACTTCATAGAAGTAGTCACAAACTTGAAATAGTGCACTGACATAATCTCACACCTAACACAAATGCCTATGTAAAAGTGAGCTATGATTCCATTTGCATTCAAAACATGAAAGTAATCAACAATTTTCATCACTTGTACAGAAATTTGAATGGTTGCATATTATTCTGAATGATTGTTTAGACAACAGAGAGCATCGCTCAAGTTTTAATTGCATTAATCAACAAGTAATAAATTCAAATGAAACGTGATTGAGACTACTTACGTTTGCCATAGAAATACATACACTGTAAACACTTCACAACACTTTCACTATGTGTAGTTGTGATTGCTTGTTCTAAGCTTCTAATTAATCCTTATTAACGGGAGCCTCATTATTAAGATTTCGATAATGTTTACATTCATACGTTGTAGGTTAGAAATAGGAGGTGATGCAATCAGACATATGCTTTATATCAATCGGTTGGAAAAGCGGAGCTTTATGACATATTGTAAAATTATAACATGAATAGGGGCTTACAATCATATTTTTATCGTATTTATAAACCGATGATGATTTCAATAAACTGATAAACGTCAAAGAATAATTGCAGCCTTTGGCGGTAAACATCGCAATCTGTAAACATAACAAACTACTAGATTCATACGATTTTAATGGCTATAGTCCGGTCCGTTTAGACAATGGAATATAGAAATTTTGAATCTTTTCGAAAATGTTGATTTTCACGCGAGATAAATTCTCGAAGCCAGGATTTTACTTTTTAAAAAATATTTATTTGAGTACCGACCGACTATTACAAGGATGAGTTATGAACTGAACTGATTAACAAAAAATAAAACCAAGTAAACTAAAAATGTCTGTTGCATTTCCGGTAAAGGTGAACGCCGTTCATGTGCCGACGTATGGTTACCGTATCCGGTTGGATACATAACTCCTCCCTCCTTAGGATGGAAGTTCGTTCTCGAACTTCTGCTGGTTGGCCTGAAGTTCTTGAAGATCCTTCAAGGGAAGCCTTGGCTTGAAGAACAGGGTGTGTAGTCTCTTTCGTTTTCTTGAAACGAAATACATAATGGTTGCAGCCAGGATGACGTACAAGGTTGCAACAGTCCGAGATATGGATGAGATGAAGATGGGCCTTAGATGCGTTGGCTGGATCACAGACAGTCGGGGTGTTTCTTGAATTTTGTCGATCTGGTCCAGGTGTATTTGGAATTTGGGATTCAGTTTTACAGGAACAACATCTGGGATCTGGATCTTCTGACTTGATGTAGTATACCATTTTTGGTCAATTTTTACTGCACATGTTGACTGGACTATTACTGGTTGGTTGACATTTTCCACTTCTCCGGAACAGTTTTCAAAGACTTGGATCTGCCTGCTTGTGCTCAGTACTATCAGATTTTTCTCAGT